ACCACGGGCTCCCCATCTTTCTTTTTTAGAGCTAATGTGAGAAACAACATTAACAACAACAACTGCCACACCCTGGCTAGATATGGGTCTGGGCACGATGGTGTACCAGCATGTTCGCTCGAAAAGGAGACAGAGAGGTACCTCACCACCGAGGAAACGGCACTTATGGAGCGTTGTGCGGCACAACAAACACACTTTTTAATTTTTCGATCTTTTGGACACACACGGCCGGGCACCCTGGGCCGGTAAAACCTGACAAGGTCATATACTGCGACACCCTGGCTAGAGGTGGGTCCGCGCATGATGGTGTACACCCGCACACTCGCTCGAAACAGAGACTAAACATGTGTGCCTGTAGACGGACAAACGGTCGTCGAGGACACAACAGCAATGTAACTACATACAGCAGTATACGGAGTGGGCGCTGACGATGAGAACGCGTTTTTTTTTTTTTGGAAAGCGCCGCGGCGGGGGCGGCACCCCCCCGCCGTGCCGAGTCGGAGAGGTGTACACCATTTCCTTCCGCCGTGCAGTGTAGTGTCGTGAAAGTCATTACACACATAGACATACACGTGTAGTTTTCGCTGGATGCCGCGCGATTGCGCGCGCGTGCCTCCGCCGTTTTTTTTAGGTCGGACACACGAGACAGAGCACACACAATAAAGAGGCAACACCGCGGCCGGCGAAGTATAATTAGTTGCCTATTATACGGAGTTGACTAAATCAAACAGCAGTACTAAATCTGTCCTTGCTTTTGGAGAAAAAAGCAACAAGTCACACCCTGCCCGCGCATGTGCGTATCCGTCGGCAATCATCCCCACTATTCTCCTGTCATGTTGAAGTATTGACTCTCCAACAGAGGACGAAAGTAGGCGCATTACATCGTACACGTATAATTTAGTCAATGTTTCATGATATCGGGGTGGCTGTTTTATACCCCTCCAGGCTGCAGCCCGTCCATCGCGTGATGTCCGTGAGCCGGCCTATCGCCCTACCGCTGTAGCCATCACCCTGTTCCGCCCGCCCGGACCTCACCGCCACCTTTTTTTGCGCAAGGCAAGCAAGCGGGGGGTACGGGAGGCCGTCAAGTCAGAGCCGAGGGGAAAATCATAGCAAAGTACATACATCCGGCGAAGGCGAACGCGGGAGAGTAGCGATCCAAGGTCCTGTACCCACCAATTTATTCAAACTCACCTCTCTCGGCTCTGACACGCCCGACGTGCTCAGACGAAAGTGTCTTGGTTGATGGAGTGATGACACTCATTCAAAAGGTACTTGTCATACCCGGTGGTACCCGGCGTAGCCTGGCGGAATCTGTGGCGCCAAGCACCAGCCCCACGACCCGACCCTTCCCCGCCCGTCACTACCCCACAAACGTGAGAGCTGCCAGTTTCACCTTCGCCGCTCAGCGAGCATGCGTGGTAGAGATGCACCTGCCGATAGATGGCAGATACAGGGTACACCGCCGGACGGCCGCGGGCTCGAAGGTTCAGCGTCGGATGCCCGGTGATAGAATCGGGGACGCGGTCGTTGGCGTGAGCAACCCCAGTGTACTCGTAACCGAGCACCCACCACGTGAGCGGTGGTGGGTTCCCACCCATCAAAGGCCGATTGGCCTTGTGCCGGAAGAAGTACAGAACCTTCACCAGGGTTAGATCTGTAGGATCCGCACGGCCCGCCGCGGGCATCGGGGGAAGTTGCTTGTACACCTCTACGTTGTCCCCTCCGCCACTCCCGAGAGCCCACTCGTCACGCGGCCCAGCCTGCGCCGCCGACTTCACATCGCCGCCCTTCAAGCGACCAAGGCCACAACTTGCTACCATGGGTGCCCGGATGTACCGGGAGCAGTCGATGGAAGCTTGTTGAAGGGTGTCTCCGTCCCAGCAATTCGGGCAGCGGCTGCTTGAGCACGGACCCGCCATGCCGCATCCGTAGTACGTCTGGTATGCGCGCAGTAAGGTCTGTTCGTCTGGGCGGAACTTGCTGGACACCAGGCGAGGACGCCAGTCGCCATCTAGCTGCTGCTCGTCCCCGTTGTTGAACAGAGAAGCGGTCCAAACCGCAGATCCCGGGTACTGTCCGCTAAGCTGTGCTGGCGTCTGAACCGCCTCGGCGTGAATGTCTGTGGGCACGCGGTCATGGCCGAGGAAGCTCGCCAGCGACTGCATGAGCCGGACACAGCCATCACCAGGTCGAACGGTGACGATCTCGTGCATTTTTGTCTGTCGGTTGTACTTAGTGACTCTGTACGGCAGCCCGTTGGATAACGCCAAGAATGCGCTGTTGACGTTCGCCCGCTTAGCCATGTGCAGTGAAGGGCTCCTACCGCAGTCCACACCCCTTCCAGACTTGTTCACCTGGTGGGTGTGTTCACCCGTGCTGGCGTCCGGACATATTCCTGTACGTTTCGTTCAACGTGTGATGCAGGCAGCGAGAGGTCACGTGACGAGCTCGGCGTGAGTGCATTTTTCAGATAAACATGGACGGTGAAGCACTATCAAAATGCTTGGTTGAGTGGTGGGTGAGTGGCGCACCCCCCCCCCCCTCTTCCTCCCCCCCGCAATGCCCATCGTGTCTGTCGGCGGTGTTCTTAGCTGCAAGGATCCAGCGAATGGCGTTCAACGAGGCCAACCCTAACCCACGATCCACAACCCACATTCGAAACGCTCTCAACGTGCAGACGAATCGCCTCTACCGCATGTAGGATGGAGTGTATGGTGGGCCGCGATCCCGTCCTCCCCATTACTTTGGAAAAGACCTCCACCTGAAAGGCGAAAACGTCACGAGTCATTTGCTTGCCATTCTCTTTTACAATCTCTGGAGCATGAGGTGTGAAAACCTTTTGTTAAAAGTCTGAACACTGGTGAGGATGACAAGTGTCCTGTATTGTGTTTGTCATGAACTTTTTCTGCTGTATGCATTTGTTTTTTTTTTGTTTGGGCCACGTCACATGTCGTGTATAGGTACCAAAGAAAGACACCAAAGAACTTGGCCATGGCTCCACGCCCAGCTAATACCACCAACCAGAAACGGCCCACTGTCGCTTTGACGTAAGACCGCAGGGGTGTTTTCGCGCACCAAACTCGTGTCTCAGCTCTCTGACGCAACCAGAATGGGCAATCGCCCGACGTAGACGTAAAAGTGGTGGGCGTCCAAGGCACGGTGTTTTCCATTGCAACCTTTGTGGGCGTTGTTTCTGTGTTTCGCGAAAGGTCGGAGACAAAATATATCGACCCAGCCTCTTGTTTGTGGATTGGTTCTTGTTTGAATTAACACGACGCCCCCGCGCTGAATACTTGAACCTTCCGCAAGCGGTGGCATTTTGCTATCAAAGCAGCTGTATTGTGGGGCTTTACTGCCGCGTGTGATTGTAGGAGCGACGACGCAGCAACAGGATGT